CAGGGGTCATACTACTTTTGTCTATAGTTGGTTAATGATTTTTGTTCATTGCACTGCAACTGTATTGCTTGACCTGTCATGGTGTCTTTATTTATTTATTTATTTTGGGCCATTAATGGCATGAGCTAATTCCTGGACTATAATTCATCTAGGAACTCGTTGTTCTTGGTGGTAAAAATGCCAATAGTAAAGGGGGCCGCAAGGCTTCCAAGAAGGAGAGGGAAAATCTTATGAGCATTTCAGTGGCACGTGGGCCAGAGAAGAGAAAATTAAGTTCTTCTAAAGTTAACGCCCAAATGAGAAAGGATAGGTCCCTGAGGTCCCAGAGGATTGAACCAATAGTAAAAGAAGAGGGTGAAATGTCTGACAATGATGAGGTGTATGAGCAGTTCAAGGAAGTAAAATGGATGGAATGGTGTCAGGATGTGATGATTGATGAAATGAAAACCTTGAAACGTCTGCACAGGTTGCAGACAACCAGTGCCAACCTCCCAAAGGAAAAGGTACGCTTAAAAGTGACCTCTTAAGGAACCCCACCACCCCACCCAAAAAAAAAAAAATGATGACACTTTCACTATTCACATATGTTTGACCTGGTTTTTTGCAGGTGCTTTCCAAAATCCGCAATTACTTGCAGCTTCTTGGGCTGAGAATAGATCAAATTGTGTTAGAACATGAACAGGAGCCTTATAAGCAAGATAGTAAGTTCTGCTTCCAGTTCTGAACGTTAATGCTCTTCGCTTCTTAGTTATTTTAGCCAATTTGTTAATGTCTTGAATCTTGATCCCATCTTTCTTTTAAACCATGTGGATTTTGTTTATCTTCTTGGATGACTGGCGTTGTCTGACTTTGTTCCCTTGTTACTTGCAGGGATGACAACGCGACTGTGGAACTATGTCTCCACCTTCTCCCATCTTTCAGGGGAGAGGCTGTATCAGATCTATTCCAAACTTAAACAGGAGCAACAAGAGGAGGCTGGGGTTGGCCCCTCTCACATCAATGGGTCAGTATCTGGTCCATTTGGGAGAAATCACCCTAATTCATTCCCTCGTCATATGGAGAGACAAAGAGGATACAAAAATGTGACTTCCTATCAAATGCCAGAACCAGTTCACAATACAGGAAAATCTGAGGCTTGGAAACGAAGGAGGAGAGGAGAAGGCGACAGTCATTTTCAAGGTCAGCCACCATCTCAGAGAGCTATGGGTAATGGAATCCAAATATCTGACCCTAACTCACTGGGGATTCTTGGGGCTGGACCCTCTGATAGACGTTTTGTTAGTGAGAAACCATATAGGACACGACCTGGTGGGGTTCCTCCAAGACAGGGTTTCTCCTCAGGCATAAAATAGTCACTTATCTGTGGATGAGAATGGCTGATTCTAGAGTTTTGGCAGTCGGCTATGGGCCGTGCCTCTGCATGTACATGGCTTCAGCTACTGTATATTCTCTGGAGTATTTTTTTTGGCAACCCATGGGAATAATGAGATCTTGCAGATCCTTTTTTGGCCCCCTCTGGCTGACTTGACGTATCCCGAAACATGGGATTTGCAGCCTTGAACGAGTTAGTCGAAGCCGACGATGATCTGGGCTGTGCAAGATGAAAGGAGTCTTGCCCCCTTTTTTCCTCATTGTCAGCCTTTTGATTTTCACCATCCTCCCTTAAAGTTGAGCTCAGCAAAGTGTTTACGTATATAGCGAAAAATCTTGAAAGGATTTTTTTCTTTTTTAATCTTGACATTCGATACAGACATGTATTAGGAAAGTGTATATTATCAGTTTTGCAATTTAATTGAACTTGTTTGGCCTCTTCAGGATAAAATTATGTCAGCTTATGCATACAGGAATGTATTTTATCTCCAAGATTTTGTGCAACTCTTCCCAAGTGATTTCCACTAGTCAATGAAAAATGAATTCTTGGATTTTTTCCCCCTCCTTGGTTTCCGCATGTATTCTGACTTTTTGTTTTTGATATGTCAATTTTCGTTAGTGTGGTGCACGTGGTTCAACAATGACAAATGTTGCATTCGTTTCCAGGTGATTTTTTTTTTTTTTAAATTCAAAGCCCGCGTTGTTGAACTTGCTTGGATTTATTTGGAACCTTATTTTGTACATTGGCGCTGTAAACTTGTTTGTGTGCAGAAATCTCAGCCCATGTGATCAATTTATGCCCACATTTCTATGTGTATTGAAAATGTTTAGCTTAGTTATGTTCAATGTATTAATTATTGTAATTCATATTTCATACGCAAGTTTCTTTATAGTTGTCGAGTTTTGCTGTAGGACTTGTTCCTCTTCAGAGCTCTTAACATTTCATTAATTAAATTTTGCAAATATTTAATTTGTCCTTTTTATTGGTCATGTGGCTGCTCTAGCTTGTTATTTTGCTAATTCAGTCTTTACTAATATATTTTCCTATAAATATAAAATTTTTTTCAGGCATAAAGAGTGATTTATTTCTTCGTTCAATTCGTTTACCATTATTTTTTTTTCCTAAAAAAAAAAAAGACGTTGGAAGCACAGTTATACGCTGCAAGGTTTTATATACGTACGTGTGTAACTAAGGAGGAATATTCAATGGGCCAGGAAGTTTTTACTTTATAGGATATAATTGAAGAGTTAACATTTGTCTTGTATGTAAGATTTATTTTACAAGTTTATCAGTTTTTTTCCTCAAATTATTGATATTTTTCTAACAATAATCAACCGAGAGGATGGTAGGAAATTAAGAAAAATACTTTAAATATTTTGCAAAAGATATATTCTTCCGATTCAAAATATAAGACCCTTATATATAAGGGTCTTATATTTAGGATTGAAGAAGTATTATATTAATTAATTTAACTATTATGTCTTATATTAAGAATATGAGGAGTAGTTTATAATATATCTTTTAAATATTTGATACAAATGGGTATTTCCGTGGCACGGGGAAAAGGGGAGAAAGCGAGGTGTTGAAAAGTGATTTGAAAATGAAAAATGAACCCTGCGATGAATAGAAACAAAGATGGACATCATAAATTAACAAAGGTCTTTAGCAAAAAAAAAAAAAAAAACACCATCCAAACATCAAGTTTGGACCGTCCATTTTAAGTATTGCTTCGCTTCAAGTAATAAGGATATGAGATATGCCAAGAACACGTTACTTCTTATTAAAACTAGTGTTAATTAAAATTGGCTAAATTATAAAACCCCCACACTTCATGTCATAGGTAAATAAATTTTATAACCTTTGAAACTTTACAGCATGATTCTCTGAATTTTTCCATACATGTAGATAACTTCAAATCATCAATTTCACAAACCCTTAAATTTATTTTTGTATACCCCTCAAATTTTAAGTTATATGCAAATAAATCCTTTAAAATTGAAGACATTTATAGATAAATAATGAATGATATTAATAATTTGAGATTTATTTTAGTGAAACATTAGAGCATCCCCTACTCGAATAATGAGAGGCTAACTCCCGGGACTTGCAGAGGCCCAATAATAGGAGCTACACTCCCAAGCACGCCAGCTCTATTTCCATCTTCCAGCAGAATCGAACCCGGGAGAGATGGTTAAGGGATACAGAGCCCCGGGCTCATTTTTAACCATAGTGCATCCTTCTTTTGTACTTATTGCTTTCCTCAACTTGTTCCATGGAAAGGGAATTCGCAAAAGTACAAAAGAATCCCCCCGGGCTATGCATAGCTATCCTCCTATGAGGGATAGTATCTGAAGACATATCTTCTGCAATCCTATATCCCACGTAGACAGAACTGACTTGTCTTTTGCATGTATTAGATTATTTTTATTTTTCTAATACTACCTCCGGTTCTAATTATAAGAGTCAGTTGACTAATTTAAGAAAATTAAGGAAAGAAGTTAAGTTAATTATTTGTAATAAATAGATATTGTCTTTTCTAAAATATCCTTACTAATCAAGTATATTGGCTAAAACTATAATTATTAGAAGGACTATCTTGAAAAAATTGAGTAAATGTGAGAGACAAAATGGATTAAGGTCTTATATTTAGGATCAACATAAAAGTTAAACGGGGTCTTATATTAAGGATCGGAGGTAATAATAAGTTTATAACTTTGTGTAAATGATAAGTTTTTGACAAAACGGATAGATTAGAAATGTCCAAGCGTACTTCTAGGCATACACATACACATTGATTAGCAACTAATGTACTGCCAGAAATAACTTGAGATTATAAGTGAGGTTAAAATTGCAATGGATTAAACCTGAAGCCGAATTAAACCTGTGACCTCTCATTTACAAGTGAACTTTAATGCCAGTCTAAATGACTGGCCGGCCTGTAGATTTTTTTTTTTTTTTGAATTAATTAGAGGGGCAGGTACTAATAACTTGAGATTTAAGTGGGATCGAAGATATTTGGAGCCTTCCATGTGCAACGTAAGGGGGTTTCAATAGCATACTCATAAGATATACTCCGTCTTCCCAAGTAGAACTCTCTGTTCACCAGTCACCAATTCATGGCCGCAAGATGAGTTATGGAAGTTGCGAAATCAGCTGGTTTGGAGAATCAAGTTAATGCTATCCATATCTTGATTTTGCTTCTCCTCTGGAACTCACAACTTCTGGTTAGTGTCCAGTTCTTGAATAAAAAATTGAGGCGAGGATTTCAAGTAAGGCCTTGAAGTCCAAATATGATTTTCTGTTCGGAGAATCTGAAAAAACACTCTCCTAATTGATTACTGACTTACAGAGGACATTAATTGAGTTTCTATAGTCCCTTAATTCATTGTTTGTCCTCGTAAAATTATAATTTAAGTGTTTCATAATCCAGGGTACTTTTTTTTACATCTTAGTATTTTGATTTGTACGTCGCCAGTTACACTGCATATAGTTATTGCTGTAAAAGATAACGCTCAACAACCAGTAAGTTTAGAAGTTCTTGTTTAAAAAATGATCATTACACTAGCAGAAGAGGCTTAAATTTCAATCTCATTATGTCATTTTTATATACACTTTGGATGTTTCAGTTGCATGTTTGGCCAATGATGGAGCAATAAACAATAGCGTATGGCCAAAGTATTCACATGAACTAAAGATATATAATAATGGGATTTCATTTAGGTGGTTCAGCAGAGGGGAAAATCAAGAACTGATTGAATCTGAGGAAGCTGAAAATTGAATCAGGACTAGATGGATTGCTATATGGGCCAGGAAGAAACCATCTTTTTGTCCCGGGGCCAGTCAACATCCCTGAACCGGTCACTCAGGTGATGAACTGAAACAATGAGGATTACCGTTCTCCTGCAATTCCAGAACTCATAAAAAATTTGATTGAGGATGTGAAGAACATTTTCACGACTATTTCTGGAACTCCATTTCTTATCCCCACAACTAGTAATTTTTACAGATGGACAGGCCAAATTTTACTGCTAACCTAAAACCATGATCATTAGCCTTTCACACTCAGTTTACTGAAAAGATTGTCTTACCCTCTTGGAACTTTGATGTGAGCAATGCATGTCTATGAACAAAATCTAGCTATTGTACGAGAATACTATGTTTATCCAGTGTGTCCTATAACAATCTCTTCTTGAATGGCTTGGTCTTCTTTTGATGTGGGTACGGGTGCATGGGAGAGTGCACTGACAAACACAGAGTCTCCGGGAGATCGGATTGTATCTTTTCTGATTGGCCAATTCGGTTTGCTTTGGATTGATCAGCAGAAACGTCTTAACTTCAATGTTGATGTCGTTGAAAGTGAATGGGGACAAGGTGCCAACCTTGACATTCTGGAATCAAAACTTGCTTCTGATAGAGCACACACCATAAAGGCAATTTGCATTGTTCACAATGAGACAGCAACTGGAGTCACTAATAACCTCGTCAAAGTGAGGAGCCACCTTGGTGAGCATTCCATCTATTTCTCTTCTCTCTTCTTCAATGATAGAGGTCACAATTATAATGAGGCATTGCTTAAAAACTTAAGTTTTTGAGTTGAGAAAATCTGCCACAAAAATCAAGTTATTTTTGTTATAGAAACTGTAATAGAGCCTGAAAGAAGTTCCACTATCCCTTGTTAAGTTTGTGTTATTTTAATTTTTTTTTCCCTGGTCTATAAGTTTACCAATCCTTGCATTTTCTGTGTTTTGGGTACTTTTGGCTTTTCTATATTCATTCATGATCTTTTTTCTTTGTTTTATTGGTTTACTTTCAATTATATTCCCTGTTTCTTCGATAAAGAAACAGCTTAGTCCCACTACTCATTTTTTTCAAGAACAATTTCATTCTTCTGATTTCACAGAAAGTGCAAAAGTCATCCAAATAATGCTAATCAGCTTAATTTTTTTAAAAACTTCCCTAAGCCCTTTCTTTCCATGGATTATCCATAAGATAAATCTCACATGGAGCATTGAACTATCGGAAGAATATCAGCATCCAGCCCTCCTGCTTGTTGATGGAGTATCTTCCATTTGTGCCCTCGATCTTCGTACGGATGAATGGGGAGTTGATGTTGCCCTAGCTGGCTCTCAGAAGGCTCTTTCCCTCCCTACTGGTTTAGGCATAGTATGCGCAGGCCCAAAAGCCTTAGAGGCCTCAAAAAATGCAAAATCACTTACAGTTTTCTTTGACTGGAGTGACCGCTTGAAGTTCTACAAGTTGGGAGCCTACTGGCCTTACACTCCTTCCATCCATTTGTTTTATGGTCTCAGAGCAGCTCTTGATCTCATTTTCTAGGAAGGACTTGAAAATATGATTGCCAGATACCATCGCTCAGGAGAAGCAACCAGGTAAGCACATGATATGCTTATTAATGTTATTATAGCCTTTTAAAAAGTTCATATTTGACATGTCTGATTTTAGTACGGTCTATATAACTGGTCTCCCATGCATCAATTATGGTCCGTTTGTTTAAACATTTTAATTAGCTACAGTAGGAGTTGCTGGAAGAAAAACTATTTTAAACTGATTTTGATAAGTGATTTCCTTTTTTTTTTTTAATAAATTAAAGGGACAGGCACTAACAGCCTGAAGTTACAAGCGGGATTGAACCCGCAACCTCCCACTTATAAAAGGAGCTTACATGCCACTAGACTACAAGGCCATTGACTTTGATAACTGATTTTCAATTACCTTTTTGTTTACCATAAACAAATGGGCCCTCAGTTATAGTAAGGATCATTTTGAAGAATTATGGATGATTCTGAATGTGGTAGAAATAATACAGGCTTGCAGTGGAAGCATGTGTTTGAAGAACTGCACACAGAAGGAGGAGTGGTAGAGTGATTCAGTGATTACGGTTCTTGTTCCTCCTTACATTGATACTGCTGAAATAGTGAGAATGGCATGGAAGAGATACAACTCTAGCTTAGGTCTTGCACTCAACAAAGTTGCTGGCAAGGTTTTCAGAATAGGTCATCTTGGCAACTTAGATGAGGTATTCTTAATTTCCCCATCTCCCATCAATCCATGCATTTCATCCTTGTCTGTTTGTATTAATTATATGTATATGTGTGTATGTAAATGTAGACATGTACATACTAAGTGTTTGGAGATTAAGTGTACAGAGACCTAGTTGGTTTGACGAATCTGGTTGGCAAGGCATTAGGAGGCCAAGACAATGTCTAGCCCAACCTAATCATTTCTCACGAAAATAAACTTATGAAATACTTTTACCCAACAATAACAAAAATATAATATAATATAATATAATATAATATAATATAATATAATATAATATAAAAATTGTAATATTATACTATTCATGAGTTATGAACAGTATGTCTTTTCTTGTCATCCTTTACTCTGAAAAGGAACTCATACACCCATCATACTTATAAAGGGTTGAATACACAACCTTGTATTTAAATAAGACTTAAAGAGGTGTTTAGTGTCAGTTAGACCAAACGGCCCCAATAATATGAGTTATTTCTCAGATTTCATATGATTCACATGATTCACACTAGTTACGTCAACAGATTTGTCTTGTTTTTTGTGCATATTCTCACACACACTCTCTCTCTCCCCCTATATTATGGCTGACCAAATACATACAATAGTACTATATCATTGACTTGTTGATTCTTGCTTATTATGGTTAAATAATTTGCATAACAAACTTTAATCTATGCATTGAAATTTGTTTTCACAGTTGAAACTATTGGGATGTCTTGCTGGAGTGGAGATGGTAATGAGAGATGTGGGATACCCTGTGAAGCTTGGAAGTGGGGTTGGTGCTGCTTGTGCTTACTTGCAGAACAACACTCCTCTCATCCCTTCCAGAATGTGATTTCATTCTCACATTCCTTCAAATTCCTTTCTCTTTTCTGGATTCCATCTGAATTAGACAAACATGCTTACGTGTACAGTCTCTGCTTTTAATTTATTAATTAATAATTAATTTATTGCTTCTTATAATTGGAACCCTATAAAACCCCCCCGGGGGGGCTTGCTTCAGTGTATGAATACAGAGTCCATATCACCTGAATTTGAAAGTGAAGTGTATGGCTTATGTTTTTTTATAAGAAAATCTCCTAAATTTGAATTAAATTATTTAAATTTTATTGTTTTAATTTTAAATTCACTTCTTCATCTATTTTGAACTTGACATGTATAAAATTGCTTGTATTTTTTTCTCCACTAAAATGATACTCCTCCGGTCCTTATTATAAGACCCAATTTGACTTTTTATTTAGTCCTAATTATAAGACCCAATCCATTTTGTCTCTTATATTTATGCATTTTTTTTTTAAGATAATCCTTTTAATAATGATAGTTTTAGCCAATATACTTAATTAGCAAGATATTTTAGGAATGACAACACTTATTTATTATAAATAACCAACTTAACTTACTTCTTTAATCTCCTCAAATAAGTCAATTGGGTTTTATAATTAGGACCGGAGGAGTAATAAAAAATATTTTAAGCAAATTTCTCCCAATTAATAAATATGGGTTGTTTGTAGTTGTAATAGCTGATTCACGACCTGGATTTATCTATACAACATCATTTTCAGAACAATTAAGTGATTACGATGGCATTAAAAAAAAAAAAAACTCGAGTAATAGTTGATTCCCGACTTGGACGATTCCCTACCGACGTTGGGCCTGATGGGACCGATGAGGCCCACTAACGGTGATAATTCACGTAAGGCAAGTCCACATCAAACCACTCACGCCAGACACGTGACAAATGTTTCATTCTGAGTGATCCTAGATGCTTCCACTGTTTTTCCCTTGGCATGTTCCGATCCAACCACGTTCCAGTCTTACACGTGTGAATGAACGTCCTTTTTTTTTTTTTTTTCTTTTTTTAAAATGCAGATGCCACAGTAATACTGGCTGGTCGTAGGCTGTTACTTTTTTTTTAAAAATAAAAATTAAATTTGATTTTGTAATTATAAATTATAAAATATTTTAATACACTGATGACTTGTTATGCCTTGAATTTTTTTTTTCCAGTTGTTTAAGAATAGAAAATAATCCGTGACAAGTTCCACTACCCAATTTTCTTCTTTAATCTCCTAGTTTTTTTTTTTGGCAGTAGTTAGTGGAGATGGTCGACTTATGAGGTCATAAACGTATATTCGTTAATTTTTTTTCCATGTATATTTGTTTTTTCAATCTATTTTGTTTTTTATATTTACTGTTATTTTTAAAATAGTTTTTGCAATAATTAATAATAGTAGTTCTAGTTAATATACTTGATTAGTAAAGATATTTTAGAAAAGACAACACTTATTTATTATAAATATCTAACTTAATTAATTTTTATAATTTATTTAAATTAGTCAACTAGTTTTTATATTAATAACCGGAGATAATATATTGTAGAAATGAACACTGATAAACCATGAAAAATATAACAGTTCAATATTCAAAAATTTCATCTTTGGCCAAAAAAAAAAGGAATCTTCTCTTTTGGTGAAAAGGGGTAAAATGTTTGGTTATATAGTTTTGTGCAATTCACATTTCTCGCGCATTGAAGGTAAACAGATCATCAGGTCAAAAAAAAAAAAAGGGGGGGGGTAAACAGATCACGTTGCATTGTTTGCGGGCTACGCAGACTTTCAGATGTTTGACCCGAAGTTATGTTCATTCTCGATGGCAATATAATTTGGTTGGTGAGAAAAAATTATAGAAGCAAGTGGAGCCCATACGGGTTTGATCACACAGGCATTTGGTGTATCACAGCTTCAGCATATTCACCGTATCTTTTTTACAACTTTTCACTGCTAAGGAAAGAAGACTGACCGGAATCGCTAATCGAGCGAAGATGATCTGAAAAGCTCAAGTTCTTTTTGGAGCTAATCGTCAATCGATGAGGAGGAAGAGAAGAAGAAGAAGAAAATACCAAATCCAGAAACAAATTGACGGCTTCACGACATGGGGATGTCAAAGGAGAATCTGAAAGGTGTCATTTTAGCGCTGGCGTCAAGTGGGTTCATTGGGGCAAGCTTTATCATTAAGAAGAAAGGTCTCAGAAGAGCAGCTGCAGCTACTGGTGTCAGAGCAGGTGAATATGCATTTTTTCCCGTTATTTTTTCCCTTTCTTTTTAACTGGGTGATAAGTGCTTATTTTGGTTATCCGTGGTTTCATTTCTTATCTTATAGGTGTTGGAGGGTATTATTATCTGTTGGAGCCTCTCTGGTGGTTAGGAATGGTCACAAGTAAGCACCTAATGATGTTTCTGAATTTCTATTCTTTTCTAACCTAGTTATTTGAGCTGAACTTTCTTCTTGTTTCTTTATTGGTTTTAATTTGACCCAATAATTATGTGATGTTAATTAGATTTTCTTGATTTTGATGCTTGTTAAAGTTGAACCAATTTCAATTTACGTTGTTTACTAGAGCCTGGATTTAGTACTCCCTCTCATTTTCCAATGCTTGTCCAGGTCATTGCATTGCTTATTCTCTTTGGTTATGCTTGGAAATGAGTAACCAAGCTATTTTTCTAGTATTTCATCTTTACTGCTGTTAATGACTTACTATAATAGGTAATTATCATGGCCATGGGCTTTTAATCTTTTGTTGACTTCTAGCAGAATCTATGTTATTGTATGGTTTGTGATTTAGTGATTGTTGGAGAGGTTGCAAACTTTGTTGCGTACGCATTTGCCCCAGCAGTTCTAGTTACACCGCTTGGTGCACTGAGTATCATTGTGAGGTAGCTGCCTTACTTTTTTTAACCCTTAATTAAGATTTGAAAGTGTTTTGTATTACATTGTAAATTAACATTGTTACTTCTCCATTGACGTGTGAATATGAAATATGAATGCTATCCTCTAGTGCGGTTTTGGCTCACTTCATTTTGAAAGAGAGGCTGCACCCACTTGGAATGTTGGGCTGTGTAATGTGCATCGCTGGTTCTGTCGTCATTGTCCTTCACGCACCTGAGGAGCGTACTATCACATCTGTTCAGGAAATATGGAATTTGGCTACCCAACCAGGTTATAATGCAGTGCCGTTTATATTCAAAGCTGATTATTTTATAGTTCTTGATTAACATTGGTATTTCTTTCATTGCAGCATTTCTGGTATATGTGTGCTCTGTAGCAGTATTGGTCTTCATTTTGGTTTTCCATTTTGCACCACGGTGTGGCCATACCAATGTGCTAATTTTTACTGGCATTTGTTCGTTGATGGGTTCTCTCTCTGTAAGTAACTGAAAATATCTCCTCAGTTTTCTGGCTTGATCTCATTTTCAAGGTGATCTGATTATCTTGGCACCTGTGTTCTGATAAAGCATTACATAAAAAGATTCCTAACCTGTATGCAAATTAATTTTTGTTACTACAAGGGCTCAAATTTGTCACGTCTCTTTACTCCTTGACTCTCTCATCTCTCCATTTTTGTGGGAAAAGTGGGATGTATATGTGAAGAATCTTTCTCTGGTCCAATGACTGCTGAATATTCGTTAGAGTTCTCTGTCTGGAGTTTTTTATACATCTCAATGTGCACTCAATCTGGAAGGATGAGTTGCATGTTCGAATCTTTCTTTACCACCCCTGGTTTCTGTGACTGATCCATATGAAATTGTTACAAATTTTCAGGTGATGAGCGTTAAAGCCCTTGGAACTTCATTGAAGTTGACATTTGAAGGGGTGAATCAATTAATCTACCCTGAAACATGGTTCTTTATGCTAGTTGTGGTTACATGCGTCATTACTCAAATGAATTACCTCAATAAGGTTAGTTACTCTCTGTGCCTTGAAATAAGTCCAGTCGCCTTAGCCTGCTTTTGGAACTTCTCTGAACCAATGAAACTGCTCTTTTGCCTTGTATATAATATATACCTATTTTCTTAACTGTTAATGACCTTTTTGTGGTAGTCCTGACATTAGAGGAATCCTTAAGATGGAATCTCTTACTGTTGTAATTGTAAAGAACCAAAAAAGAGGTAATATCAATATTGCACTTTTGGAAACTTCCCATAACAATGAACAAATATGTGTAAATTATAATTTCCACTCTTATAGAGATAAAGGAAGCAGGATCTGCAAAAGGAGACAAATTTGACGATGCATGATTTTCCTGATCTTTCTTTACAAAGTGCTTTGTTTTTAGAGCGTGATAAATATTGAATCAGTTCTCTTGCATGAGTGCACATGAAGTATCTAGTTCAGTCTGAAAGCTTTTGATAGTCTTGATAATTGATATAATTCACATCATTGATATTGTGGTGAGGGGTTGTCTGGATAACTGATAGGAATGGGTGTATTTACAGTAGTGAAAGCTTACCATTAAGTGGTTCAAATTTAATGTTTTTTTTCCTTTTTTTTTTTTTGGTTTTTGTTTTCGTTTTGTTGTTTGGGAGTACTCCCCAGGGGGAGGGATGGGTGGATTAAATTTGCAAGAATTTGTGGACACCCCTCCTGTACTGAAAATGTGGGCTGAAGAATTATGGTGTGAAGTCTGAGAAAAAGGTCATTATTGCAGCTGATTTTGTTTCCTTCTCTTTTGTACCCAGTCATAATGCCGAGGTTAATTAGGAACGAAAGAAAATAGGGATATTGAGATGCAAAGACGCTGCACTGCGGCACTGCTATGTGAACCATTGGCAGACTTTTCCAGTTAATGGGTGCCAAAGTGAGGTCATGGTAGAACTTAAGTCACAACTCAAGGCACAAGAAGACTGAATATAGAAGGCACACAATATTGACAAGAAGAACGGACTTAAAAGCTTCAATGTCCACTAGATCTGTTATTGGGGGAGGTTATGAAGTTAGTAAACTCCTAGGAGGGGGAGTCTATGATTAGGGAAATATGATTAGTGTAGTGGGTGTGCTGTGGATGTGGTATACTTCTAAGAACATAAATACAGTTCATCATGTATTAAATGGTATCACATCT